AAAATCTTAAAAAAAAAAAAGGCAAATACTGGTTTTTACTCATATAATCACTCATACCAAAAAAAGTTAAAAAAAAAACAGCAATATGTCCATTTCCTGAGCTGTATCATCTTTTCATAACAACTTGAACATCAAAACATTCCTTTAAAGTATGCAAGGCAAGCATACGCCATCAAAAAGAATATGAAGAGTTACTAAATTTAAGGTAGTGGTTATCTCCACATGACAGAATTTCAAAGGATTCTTTCTTGGCTTAATTTTATGTCATTGCTAATTTACTTCATGAACATGAATTACTTGTTTGAATTAAAATGAGAAAACAGTTATTTCAGAGAAACAGGTTTAGGAATGTTTTTAAGGCTGCTTAAGTTTTCTACAAAGAACTTTATTTTTTGTGAATATGAAAGTAAATTTTAAGTTGTTAATCAGGTTAGAGCTTACGTGGAAGCTGAAACTGAAATGGAAAGCTGAAAATACCTAGACCACTGCCCACTGCATCATAAATCAATGAATAATCTAAAGCTACAAGATATTTTGAGAAATGTCTATCAGGTTACCATAGAAATATACTAAACCCTAATGGAATAATCTCACAAGGAAATATTGCCCCTCCTGGTATTTATTTTCTTCTGATTCATACATACGTAAAGATATTACAGTCACAAGGCAGTTTCACATGGGGCTTTGAGCCTTAAAAAACACTGTGAGGGGGGCAACTATTGTCTGCATTTATAGATGACAAAACAAGCTCGGGATCTGATTTGCCAAAGGTCATCAAGCTAGTAAGACAAATTGTTAAGTTGAACCTTGATAGGTCTTTACCCTCCAAGTACACACTAGAACGCAGTACCTCCCTCTAAAGTACTATCTATTGAAGTAAGGTAATACTAGCTCCAACTTACAGATGAAGAAACAGAGCCTAGAATTCATTAAGAATGTTGACTTAAAAAAATGAGAAGAATATTGATCAAGACTTATAAGGCAGTAAAGCATCAGGGCGAGGGTTCAAACTCCAGGCCAGTCCAACTCCAAACCCAACAGTCCTTCCAGCACGCTAAACTGCAGCACAGCCGAAGCAGAGAAAGGGGGTGGAAATGACACAAAGCCTTACTGGACAACCATGTAAAAACATGACTCTGTACCCTGGCCACAGCCACTGTGTCAGGATGGGTCCCAACTCAATCCATACCTTCCTCAGCACTTCAGAAGTGGGACCAAAAAGTCAGGCCTCCTTGGAGTGCCTGGACCAATGAGAATAAAGCTGGTGGACAGGACCTGGGCATCTTTAGCCTACTCTGAAACACAGAGTCAGAGGAAGCTGGTCTGAAGATTGGGCATAAAGGCACAGAGAAAGCAGCTGGAAGAACTGGATGATTTCTAGTTTGTGAAGGCCCTTCTTGTTTCCATAAAACTCCCTAAAATAAATGCCCTGTTTTTGTTTAAGCTGGCTTACAACTGGGTCCAAATAAAAGCGGAAGGTCTTTGCCAAAGGGGATAAAAAAAGAAATACTTCTATAAAGGTACATTAAAAAAAAAAAAAAAGTAAGCGGCCAGAACATGCCTAGAGTGAATTATCAGATCAGAGAAAGAGTCCTTCCTAATGGTGGGCCAATGTAGCCCCAAAGGAATCTTCTTAACCATGAACCCCATTACTCCTGCAACAGCGATACAAACTGCAATTGCTTCCTAAGTGTACCATGTTGTCCCTGCCCAATTATTTGGTCAACCAAGTCCCCCAACTGGGAATACTCCCCCAACCTCTCCATCTCAGCCAAATCCTCCCATTCAAGGTCCAGCTCAAATATGACCTGCTGCATACCTACACTATCCATCTGAGCCCTACAAACTCCCTCTTCTACATCTCTGCTGGCACTCACTGCCTTTTGCTACACATTATGTAACTGCCCGATCTTCTCTGTTCTAGACCAAAGCAGTTCTTTGAGGTGTGATTTCAATCTGATTCCACCTAACTACCCACTCCTTCTCTACACTCCATCCTTCTATAGAGCTCCTTGGGTTGAGAAACTGTGACTGAAGTCCCTTGGTATCCCAGCACTTAATTCAGACCCTTGCAAAGAGGAGTTGCTCAAATACCTGTTGAATGTATGAAATATTAATTCCTCAAGCATTAGAAAAGTCATTAGAAGTTTATACATTTAACATCTATAGCAAGGGAAAGGAGGGGACTGGTGACAATTTATAATACCTGATGTTAGAATCTCCTGAAAAAGGGACGATACATATTTTAATACTACAAGTGCTTACGGTTTAAAAAAAAAGGGGGGGGGGTAGTAGGAATTCTAGAAGGTCTGATTGTGTGGAGAACTGGCCTGTTCCAAATGAGGAGGAATGCAGTAGTTACTACAGAGAGCAGAGGAAAAAAGAAAAAGATGGAGAGAGAGGACAGACCAGGGAAAGGACAGAAAGCCAAACACTATACCAAGACTTTCCCCATGACTCACATCTTCCAGAGTTAATTAAATTACTGAAAGGCTTGGGAGAGTGGAGTGAGTGAGGGAGTATATGCGTAAACCAGTGAAACAGGTGAGTTTTCACGTCCAAGTTGACATGAGTGGAACCAAAATATCATTTTCAGAATTGGGAACCTAACAGCTAAGAAAAACATAAGTAAAGTAAATTATAGGAAATTCACAAAAACAGGATGTGATGGGGGGGAGGGAGGTGATGGAGAGATGACCCCCTCCAGACTTTGACAACCTGTGCAATTAGGAGTGGGAGGCTAAAACTACAAAGAGTAAGGTAGGCCTAGCTGCCATGTAGATTTCATAGGTAATGATCTTTTCTGGCAGATCAATCCTGTGAATTATAAATTTAACCAGATACTAACTAAGGTTAAAGGAGTTAAAGTCCACATCATCTATTGATTTCTATACATCATTTCGATTCCCTAAATGTAACTCTGTAATACCTGAGTGACAAAAAAATCCAAATGAGGCCAGTGAGATACTTCTTCAGGAATTAATGCTTTCAATTTTGATCTCTACTGCTAGGTTTTAAATAGATGTTTGTCCCATTCCCTACCTTAAGAAAAAGAAAGAAAAAAAAAAACTTATTAAATGCAAACATACTTAAAAGAAGAATGTCAGGAAGTCCAGTAGTAAACATCAATAGAAGTCAGAGATGGGGAGAGGATCCATTCCACCGTGGCTCCTTGCAGCCAGGGCTGCCCAAAGGGGAGACAGATAAGAACCTCTGCAAGCAATGAGGCGTGGAGTGGGAGGTTCCTGCTGACACAGCCCCTGCTGGTACCCCTTACTCCCAGAACTGAGGCAATTAGACCAACTTCCCGTCTTCTAGCCCACCATCTTACCCCCAGTACCCAGGCAGATAATCCAATACGGACACCCCTGCACCAGGATGTGCTCGTGACTGAGCAGGGAAGGGGAAAACAGTCTTTCTTCTCCTGCCACTTCCGAAGTCCTAGCCTCCTGGAGATGACGTCAGGCTACTTTACGCCCCCAATCAACCCAGCAGAGCCTTAAGCAAAGCTACCCTCCCATGCTCACACACATCCCACTGCCCCCCTACACACACACACACACACACACACACACAGAGGGAGGGAAGGAAGAAGTCATAGGGTTTGCTTGGCAGGGCTGGGCCAAGTGATGAGACAAAAGCCCTCAACTGCACCCTAGATTTAATGAGTAAGTGTCACACTCCAGATGCACTGAGCTCCACAAACACTCCCACCTCCCAAGGAAGCCCTTTCCCCCAGAGACAGCAGTTGGCAGGTGGCCAGTTAGAAATCAATGTTAGTAAACTGATGAACTGAAAGATTAGTTCAGCTTAGGAAAGCCAGCTTAGAGGAGATAATGTATACTATGCAAGAGTTCAGACTGCATAAAAGTCAAATGTGATAGTTAAGATCCACCAAAGCAGCTCATTACTTAGGACAATGCTCATTTGGAAGTGTAAACTCTAGAAAGTTCTTTATTTAAGTCACTCCTTAAATTCCAGCATTTGTGGTTTGACCTGCTTGCCTTCAGTATATCATAACTTCATTAACGCATCTGTCACAGGCCCAAAAGCACTGAGAATGAATCTAGGAGCAAATAAACAATGTCCTTGGTTCTCTTCTAAACAATTCCTCCAACCTCTCAGTTTTCCATTTCTCTCTAATGGAAAGAAGATATGTGAGATAGAAAAAAAAAAAAAAAAGTTTATGCTAAATTTGAACTCTGATTTATAAAATACTCCATTCGTTCTATCCCTCAAAATTCCACCTAACTGAATTAAGGAATCATACACCATCAGCAGCAATATACATACCGAAAAACAGAAGGCATGGGGCAAGGGGAATGCAACAGTTAAATTAGAAGAAAGCAGTAAGATGCACCTTTGGATTGAAACCACAAAACCCAAGGTACACTGGATATTGAGCTCATGATATCAGAGAATTACAGTCTGAACTTACAGAGTTTCAGTCAAAGGACCATCCAATATCTTCCAAGAAAGACAGACACTAGAGTCTTATTCAGCCCCAGAATGAAGCAGAATTTAGTGGTTTTTCCATCACAGTACATGTCAAAAAGGCAGAATTAGGAATATCTAATTACTATGATGATGCCTCTTTCAATGCCCCCCCTTTTTTCTTTTTTCTTTTTTTTTCCTTTTTTACAAATAAAACAGGATGACATTCTGGGAGCATGTAAAGTCATTTTTTATTGCGGCAGACAATACTACTTGTAAACTAACACTCATAGGCTTTTCCTTGTGCACACTGCTAAGGAATGTCTTCAAGTTTCATCTTTTTCTCTCTCTTGCTAATTGTTTAAATTTATGCTCACGCGATGACATACAATAGAGGCTTCAGGATATATAAACTAACATGAACTTCACTAACTCAGGATAGCTGGAAAAGGAGAAAAACCCATGAAGATCTTGGCAAGAAATTGCTGGCTACTTGATAACCTACGCATTTTTAAATGCTACTACAAAAAAATGCACACATCCTAAGGAACTAAGGAACTACTAACCTCTACAATCAATGTGATACATGGTTTATCCAGTCTTGACAAAAATCCTCTGGATCACCAATGGTAGGTTCATCCACTCGTACATATGCAATTGTATAAAGAATCTATTATTTAGAACACCAGGAAAAAAAACAATTAAAAGATTTATATTCATAGCTACCGTTAAGAAATTTTTTAAAAAGCACTTTTCATTTCTATGCTAAGATCTAATTTGATGCCCTGCTTTGCAAATTCAGAATGAAGAGGAAAATATTATAGTGATTACCAAACTGGAGAAAGAGTAAGGAGTGTGTCCACAAATAAAAGTTATTATATAGAAGTAACACACTAATAATTTAAACTTACTCACTGAAGATTAAAACACTGGAATACCAATATAACACAGATTTCATCATATATGTATATGTGTACATATACATAAATATCAACATACAAAGTCTTACATTAGTATTGGAAGGAAGTGTAATTATACAACAGTTTTTTAAGAGGGGTATTAGTAGGTGGGTACACATGCTACCGCACATTACACCTGAGAATATAAACGGTGAACATTCGTAACCCTGGGAACCTCTGCCCTCTCTCAGCACTCACGATCCCCTTCCCTGGTTCTTCCTGGTCTTCTTCTCACCCCTACATATGCACAGCCCCCAGACAGCTGTCCTCGGGACAATCTGCCATTCCCCTGACTCTCCCATCACCCCCACACTCTCCCAATCTTCAGACCAAGTTCCCACACCCAAAGAAGCCACATGCCTAGCACTATGCCAAGCTCTGAACATGCATTCTCTCTTCCCACTCTTCTAACCACTCTGTGAAATAGGTTTGTTATTATCTCATTTAACAGATGAGAAAACCAAAGCCCAGAAGTTAGGTCCCTTGTTCAAGGACGTTAATCAAAAAGCAGCAGAGCCAGGATTTAAAACCATCTCTGACGCCCCGTGACATTTCAGCTACTATTCCAAAGAGTCTCCCTGAGCAATACAACATGGGCACCTCAATAATTCAACTCATTCACTCAACAAATTATTTCTTTGTTGAAGGCAACAAACCTGTTCTCTCTTTTCTCCACTTTTACCTCCCTAACTCTGTCTAGAGACTGTCTTCTCCACACTCCACTAATCTCTCAGGTAGATTCTTGGAATCATCTCTAACTCCTCCCTCTCTTGAACAACACTCATCTACTTGGCTGATAATTTCTGCCTATTTTAGGGATTCTAGGTTATATTACCTCCTTGCCAAATCCACTTCCACTGCCCCACTTCAGACCCTAGGTTTCTTTCACTTGGCTCCTGTGACACCCTCCTAAACTAGTCTTGCTCCTCTGGGTCTCTGGATCCACGCAATCAATGTTACACCACTGCCACCTGTTATCCTTGTAAAACAGACCTACTCATGTTACACTCCAGCCTAAAAGCCTTTGATGGTGCTCTACTGCCTACAGAACGAAGTCCAAACTAGTTGTGTTGGCATTCCCACACAAGCTGGTCCCAACCTATCTTCGCAGCTTCATCTCCTACCGCCACCCCCAACTGAAATAATAATAATTTACACAGAGCTTAATTCCTTATACAATGCATTTTCATATACATTAATCATAACAACACTAGGAGTATTTCTTATTATCCCAATTTTATGAGAAAGAAACTGAGACCTAGAAAGGTCAAACAACTTGCTGAAGATCCCAAATCATAAAAAGAACATAAAAGGCAGAAAGGGTCAAGTATCAAAACTCCAAATTTTATCTCCTTCCCCAATACTTCCCACAGCCATAGCACCCCTACTCCAGCATATCAGACTCCACCTTTCTCTGAAAGTATTTTCTAACCTCTCTTAGCTCAAGGTATTTGCACTTGAAATTTCTAAAGAACAGTGGTAGGCATTTTTCATATTATACTTTATATTAGTTATTTATATTTATATATAAAGCTGTGTCTACAGTGAATTATAAGCTCTATGAGGACAGGACCAAAAGTTAGTCACTCAATTTTTATAATAAGTCTGCTTATTTAACTGAAAAATGTGTGGGGAAAATAAGCCACATAAGACGACAAGCATCAAGGCAGAGACTGGCCAGGCCTGAAACCAGAGACCAGAAACCTGGGTCAGACCATCTGAGCATGCCGGCAGTGCTGATAATTTTAACATCTACCTTCTGAACAAGGTCGAATAACCCAGTGCCAACCATTTTCACTGACAGTGGCCTTTATTAAATATTACAGTTTACTGAAAGCACAATTCAAAAACAGAATGGGGTGAAAACGAAGAATTAGAAGTTGATAAGAATCAGAAATACCATTATTTCCCATTTTGACGTTCCTCTTTGACTAAGTAACCAAAGTTTGAACAATACAGACTTGATTTAGCCTTTCTACAAAGATCAGCTCAGCTGCCTGGATGGCTGTCTCTGGGGTTATTTCAGTAGGCCACAGAATCACGTTCTCCCACACAGCTACACAGACAGCTTCCCACGTCTCACCCTCTCAGAGAACCACGAGGCTTCATGGCACTGGCAGAGCCTCTCTCAGAAGGTATCTGACATGTTGATTATCTCACCAACTTTTGCAAGTGAAGTTCCCCACGGTTATGTCAAATGGTCAAACTGAACAGTGTCAGTGCGCTTTAAGATTACAGGCCCTACTCCTCCCTGAGTTGTCTTCATCCCAGATCAGATTCTAAGGATGCCTTATAATTATAAAGCCCAGAACATGAAACCACTGAACAGCTGACTTGGGGAAAAGTCTCAAATGCTTCCTTCCCTCGGTCAGAAATCTCCCTGTCCACTGCTGAAACATAACCACAATGTCAACTTTTCCATGAACTGGCAGAGGATAATATTAGAAGAAAAACTAGCCCACATGCCCTGCACTGAATTACACTCCATTCCAAACAGTTACAGCACTATGATCTTAAGTAATTTACAAACTAGATTTCAGAACTATTTTTGTCAGAACTAACTGTTCTCTATCGTGGCATCTCACCCAAAATTTTGGGGCGCCTGGGTGGCTCAGTCATTAGGTGTCTGCCTTCGGCTCGGGTCATGATCATGGGGTTCTGGGGTGGAGCCCCACATCGAACTCCCTGCTCAATGGGAAGCCTGCTTCTCCTTCTCCCACTCCCCCTTCTTGTGTTCCCTCTCTCGCTGTCTCTGTCAAATAAATAAATAAAATCTTTTTTTAAAAAATCTAATATTTCTATCCAATGAACCTCAGAATACTGTCACATTTTATACACGACAGCAGATTTCTTCTGGAGGCTACTAAGACATTGGGGCGAGGGGGGGCATGTTGCTCTTGTTATAAACTGTGTATTTTCCCTTTTAGAGAGAGTAATACAACAGTCAGAATTTACATCAACTTTGGAATCAGAGAATCTGAATTCAAGCCCTAACTCCGTAACATGAAGTAAGTTCCACTATTGAGACAGTAATAGCCCCAAACTCACAGGGATGTTGAAAGGATTAGGTCAGTCCACAGGTACAAAGTGACTAGAACACATGGTAAGCTTTCAATAAACATCAGCTTTACAATCACCCAATTCAAAGTCACAATTCATGAGATTTGTGAAAGGATAACAAATTCTAAGAAACCCCAGCTCGAGATTGCCCTGCTTACCTTTTGGCAACTTCCATATGTCAATGATACTAATCAATCAGTCAATCGATAAAAATGAAATAGAAGAGAAACCTAACAGTTCTGCTTCCCGGGAGCTCCCGCACAGTACAATGGCAGATACAACCGAAAGCAACTATAGATTTAATTTAAATTTATAGCATGTGTGTCACCTCAAATACAAAGATAAAAAATGCTGATCTGAAATCTATAAAACCCAGTGTTAGCAGCTATATATCCCTAAATAGCAGATGTGGGAACCACAGACAATATGACTTTAGCATGGTCTATGTTACATAAGCATACACTTTGGTCCTTACATATTTGTCTACACGTACGCTTCCTCTTTCATCTCAGCAGTATCGTAATTCCGTTGGTGGACCGTGGTATTTCTTTTGCACCCCACAGCAATGTTAAACAGCAAACAGTTGGACTAAAGTGACATCTAGGTAAGAATTTAGCAGCCCACCTGACCATATATTTTCATCGGCATGAACACGGACTACGGTACACAGCAGCCTGGCTGAGTGCACACTGGAGTCTGAGACACCTGGGATCCGACGCCACCACTCACTTGCTGTAGGACCCGGGGAACCTAAAATGTCTGTTTTCCATTCCTTAAAACAGCAATAACAATTTTACCTACCTCTTACGATTACTGTGACAAATAAAAGAATACATGCAAAACATTTCATGCTAGTTCTGAAATACTAAGGGGAACATTTACAGATGTCTTCAATTTACTTTAAAATGCATCAGAAAAGGATGGATTGAGCACTTAGTGCCACTGAGCTGTACAATTAAAAAATGATTAAGATTATAAGTTTCATTACATGTGTTTTACCAGTTTTTAATTAAAAATGATTAAAATAAAATTATAAAAGGTGGATTGAAAGATGGACAGATACATGATAAAGCTGGTAAAATAGCAAATGGAGAGCCTAAGTAGTGGGTATATGAATACTCACTTTCAATTTTTCTGTATTTTTGAAGACTTTTACAATAAAATATTAGGGAAAAAAACAATGCTGGCATCCAAAATTCTGCTTTTATTATCACTACTAGTCAAAATAATAGCCAGCAAATATTCAGATTCTTGGCTTCTTTTTAAAAAAATTGTATAAAGCATCATTTTATCAACCATCTCTCTTTTTATTATGACCATTCTAAAACTAAAAGTAGCTTATTTGAAACTGCTTAGCCAGTACTTTATGTACGTGATTTCAAGTTAAATTATTCTAAGGTACCAGCTGCCAAGCATTTAATCTCTTCTTTTTTTTTTTTAAGATTTTATTTATTTATTTGAGAGAGAGACAGTGAGAGAGAGCATGAGCAAGGAGAAGGTTAGAGAGAGAAGCAGATTCCCCTTGGAGCTGGGAGCCCGATGCGGGACTCGATCCCGGAACTCCAGGATCATGACCTGAGCCGAAGGCAGTCGTCCAACCAACTGAGCCACCCAGGCGTCCCGCATTTAATCTCTTCTGAAGGAACACAGAAACCAAGTCAAGAAATATTTGTGGTCCATGATCGATGACTTGACCAAACAAAACAATGGAAAAGCAAGAACTGGAATTATTTGTTCCTAACTTTTTCAGTAGCTGTTGAAGCTGTTAAGTCCAGAAGTACTACCAGAAGTACTACCAGCACCTTAATAGGTCCCTGTTGTACAGAGGCATGCTGCATATACACAATATGTCAGCCACTTTGTAATGATACCCAGTTTGGGGCACCTGGGTGGCTCAAGCTTCTGCGTTCGGCCCAGGTCACCATCCCGGGGTCCTGGGATGGAGCCTGGCATCAGGCTCCCTGCTTAGCAGGGAGACTGTTTCTCCCTCTCCCTCTACCCCTCCCCCCAGCTCGTGTGCGCTCACATCATCTCTCAAGTAAATAAATAAAATCTTAAAAAAAAGAATGATATCCAATTTTCTTGTTTTTTTCCCCTCTCCAAATGGTAATTCAGATTTTAAAGTGTTTAGTGGTACTACAGGACCTCAGATACCACAAGGTAGAACAATTTAAATAGACCACCTCAAAGCTACTGCGATGCTACTTTCAAAAATACAGAAAAGAACGTGGTGGGAACGTGGAAAAATTGGAACCCTTGCGTACTGTTGTTAGGAACATAAAACGGTATAGCCACTGTGGAAAACAGTATTGTGGTCCCTCAAAAAACTGAAAATAGAATTATCCTAGGACCAAACAAGCCCACTTCTATGTATACACCCAAATGAACTGGAAGCAGAGTCTCAAAGAGGTATTTGTTCACCCATGTTCACAGCAGCATTACTCACAACAGTTATGCTGTACAAGCAACCCAAGTACCCATCAACAGATGAATGGATGAGAACATAAATGTAATATATACACACAATGGAATATCATTCAGCCTTAAAAAGGAAGAAAATACAGTCACATGCTAAAACAGAGATGAACTTTGAAGACATTAAGCCAAGTGAAATAAGGCAGTCAGAGAAAGGCAAATCATGTATGACTCCACTTATATGAGATACCCAGAGCAGTCAAAATCACAGAGACAGAGAGTAGGATGGTGGTTGCCAGGTGCTGGAGGGGGGTGGGGTGGGATAGGGAGGTCAGGTTTAATGGGTATAATGTTCCAGTTCTGCAAGATGAAGAGTTCTGGAAAGGGACTGTGGTGATGGTTGCTCAACAATATGTCCTTAACACCACCGAACTATACACTTAAAAATGGTTATGACGATAAATTTTATGTGATGTGTATTTTACAATAACAAAACAAAACAAAAAGGGAAAAAAAAAAAAAAATCAAGGAACTGATCTCCCCAGGAGGTTTGGCAGGGGTGCTCCAGCTTGGACCCGACAGACGAGGAATCAACCCGTTGGCGCTCAAGCCATGTCCATCTCTATACACACCCTGAGACCTCGTCCACTGAGACTCTCCATCCTGCCCAGGGTCACACCAACTGTTCATTTCAGCTTCAAAACTGACAAACATTACTCTTGCTACCGCAGTTCTCTGTCAAAGCAGCACGGACCTTAATCTCTCTAAACCTGCCTGCTCTTTAAAACAAGGATAATTCCTACCTACCAGCCTTACAAGGTTGTTACGAGGGCAAGACTGAGATCACGTATATAAAAGGAGCTTTAAACTGCCAAACACCAAAGCAGCAGAAATTACTATGTTTATAACTACTTTCGCATGGAAATTCAGAAGGGACTATAACAACATAAACTTCACAAGGCTTGCGACACCTCACCCATGTTTCATTCCACTTACAAATCGCATCACCCCTAAATAACACCTTTTTTGTTTTTGTCATAAACTGAAAGGGCAGCACTGAAGAAACAAACAAAAGCTCAAGCTAAGCATTTCGTCTCACCACCCCAACCGCAATCAGAAATCATCTTACGTGTCCTAGGAAAATTCCATTTTTATGGCCCCAGCGTGGGCCTGCGGCGCCCAGGAACTACACTTCCCACAAAGCATCGAGGTGAACCCGAGCGGCGGGCGGGGCGGCCTGGCATTCAGAGTGACCACCGCTCTCCCCAAACGGGGATCGCCGTCCCCTGAAAAACGACAACGTTTACGGTCGAGTGTGAAAGCGCTGTCGGCCCGCGGTCCCGCCGGCGTCCAGCCCCGCGACCCTCTCCCTGCCCTCCCGCCCTTCCTGCTCCACCTGAGGGTCACCGCCTATCCTTGACCTTTCCGCTGATTGCTAGGGTGTCACAGAGAGGCACCTTCTCCCCCGCCCCCAAAGCTCCATTTCTAGAATTCCCCCAAACAGTTGGGACCCGGGGCCACGGCGGGGTCAGACGGGACGCGCCGACACAGCCCACCACCCTGAGGGCCCCCGGCCCGTCTGCCAGCCCGAGAGCCGCGGGCAGGGGGTTGGGCTGCCCCCACCCCCGGACCCGGGTGGATCGCTGGCAGAGGTGGCTCCGCCCGGGGCTCCGGTTTCAATTTCGCAACGTGACGGTGCAAACCTGAGGCCTACAAGCGCAGGCGGCGGCGACCGGCGCCCCGCCCGCCCGCCAGGCCCGAGCGCCCCAACCCCCCGCACGCCGCGGCCGCCGCCCGCCCACCCAGCCCGGCTCCTGGCGGGCGGCAGCGCGCCCCGGCCCGCCTGCCCGCCCGCCGGGCCCCGGCCGCCGCCCCCGGCCCCGCGCAGCGCCGGCTCTGACTCGCCGCGGCGGGCTGGCGGTGGCACTTACTCAGCTCGTCCTGGGAGGCGGAGGCGGCGGCCGCAGCCATGTTGCGCCAGGGAGGGAGGGAGGGGCCGGAGCGGGAGGGCGCGGACGGGCGGCGCGGGGAGCTCGCCGCTCTCGGTGCGGCAGGGGCCGGGAGCCGCCTCCGGTCGCACGGCGCGGGCCGCGCTGCGCCCACGAGGCCCGCCCGCCGCCGTCGCCGCCGCCTGCGTCCTCCTCGCTGCACGCGTCGCTCTCGCGGTCCCCCGCGAGCTCGCGACTCGGGCGCTCCCACCGCCTCGCGCCTCTGCAGAGCCGCCGCCGTCCGTCGGCTGAGTCCCGGTGCGCCCGGCCCGCGCGGCGGCTCTGCGGCTCCGCGCCGCGCTCGCCCAACTCACGCCGGTTTTATATTTAGAAAGAGCTGAGCCATCCTCCCAGCGGCCCCCCCGCCGGGCCCCTCGCGCGCCCGCCCGCCCGCGCTCGCTCGCTCGCTCGCTCGCGGCTCGTCCTGCCCACCTGCCGCCGCCCGCCCCGAGAGCGCTCCCCGCGCGAACCCGGCACGCGGCGGCCTTCGCGGGCGGCCCGGCCTAGCCGCCCCGCCGCGCCGTAGCAGCCTGCGGCGGCCGCGACACGAAACGGACGCGCGGGCCTCTGACCTGAGTCGGAGCCGGTCTCCATGCCGGCGATGCTGCGCGCGGCGCCGCGAGGTGGGCGCCCGGGAGCGAGGCGGCGGCGGGCTCGGGCCCGAGGGGCCGCGCGCCGCAGTCCGGGAGGGGCCTGACCGGGGCTGGCCCGCGCTATCCCCGGCCAAGGAGAACGTCCAGGCGGGGCCCGGGCTCCCTCTTGAAAGGTCTGCGGCTGTCACGTCGGCCAGTCCGGACCTGAAGCAGCACGCCTGTCCAAAGGAAGAGACGTGGACTCGGAAAAGTGGAGCCGGGTTCGGAGTCGGCGGGAGGAAGCCCCGCCCTGCGCCTCCCGCGAACTTCTCGGCCCCGGCGCGTTCAACGCCCCGACCCGGCTCCCTGGGCTCCTTCTCTTACTTAAAGCCCGGGATCAAGTATAGTTTTTGATGCTCTCAAACAAGCACTACGGTGTGAAGGGAAGCCACGGAGTCCTACTAAAACTTAACTGAACCAAGATACTGGAAGTTCAAAGTCAAGCACATAGGCTTATACGAGCTTTTTTCTTTTTTTTTTTTTAATTTTTATTCTAATAACTACGTTCTTTTTGGTAACCCGAGTGATTTATTTCCAATATGCCGATTTGAACTTTACGGCTTAAGTTTGTCCATGAGGTCGTGGATGTGAATAACACTTGCAAAATGGAATTCAAATTAAGGGGTTGCATAATGCTGTACTTTAAGTGACGGCACGGTCAACAACAAATTAGGTACAAGATGAGATGCTTTTTTTTTTTTCTTTTTTGGCATAAGAGGAAGAAATCAAGACCGTAAATGGATTGAAATTGCATTTACTCCTAAAAGAAGTCCATAAAGCCCTAGCTAATGTCTTGAAGAATGAATATATGTCATTCCAGACGTAACTTAGGCAAGTACAAGGTACTTACACGACATTAAAGGCATTTATTTCCTTTATTGCTTTAATATGGAAATTATACATGATCTTTGGGAAATTTTCAAATGATTGGGGATATCATAAAATTAAAAGTGAAAAGCCTTCCACTCTCACCATCCCATTCCCCAGCGAAAAAAGTGGTTAACAGATACAGTTGAGAGTGCATTATCTGAGGCCTTGTCTCTGCATATATGTATATATCCCCAAAAGCAACTAGAACGGAGAGAGGTTCATACTTACAATAAAGTTCTGTATCACTGATTTTCCCCCATTAACATTCTTCCCCATTAATTCAAAAAGGTCTACACCACCACTCTTTTTATTAATGACCTCATACCACATTAAGTTCACCAATTCTTTTTCTGAGGACATTTTGGCTCTTTAGTTTGATGTCGACACAAAGTCGGTGCCTAACAAACTATCTGCAAAGACTACATACAGAAGTGTGTAAAAGTAAAGGTCATCCCCCACCTCCCTGCCCACCATCCCCTCATCTGAACTCCCTGGAAATAATCCTATTAACAATCCTATTAGCAATTTGGTGCCTCCAGCCTTTCCTGACTGTGAATATATAAAGTAGCTGCACCAAGGATTGGTTTAAGGAAACTTCGACTCTCCATAGCCTCAAAAAGATTCTTCTAAAGCCAGCACAAAAAAAATAAATTAATTAAAAGTAGAATATAAGTGAAAAAATAAAAAAGTTCATTAGGCAATATTAACTTCCAGACAAGATTAGTTAGCATCTCATAAATTCATCCTATGTAGAAATTTGAGAGTCCACACATGTGCAAATCACGGATATGTGTGTATACACAGATTTTGTTTTAACAAAAATGGAATCCTACTACACATATGTAACTTTATCTTTTCACCAAACAATACACACAGGTGTTTTTCCATACGGGTAGTGATAATAATAGTTAATACTGATTGTGCTGGGCAGTGTTTAAAGTGTTCTACATGGTGGAACTCATTTAGTCCTCACAACAATCTTATGAAGTAGGGATTTTTATGACACCAAATAGTGAAGGAACAAATCCAAAATGCCACAAACTAGAAACTGGTGAAGGGGTTTGAACCTAGGCAGTGTGGATCACTCTTTACCACCATGATTTGTATGTACATCACTACTTCGTTCCTTTAAATGGCTGCATGAAAAGTACATGACAAAATTTATTTAACCATTCCCCTACTTATGAGCATTTAGGTTGTGGACAATTTTTTCTACTAGTGTAAGCAAATGTTACTGTAAAAAATTCCTATACATATATCAACCTAGTTACATATTACATATAGACAGAAATATGTAGAGGCAAAATTGTTAGGTTAAAAAAAGATGCCGTTAACATCTTGTCATATACAGCAGTTTATACCACTTTACAGCACTGCTGCTAATTGCTAGGGTTTAAAGTTCTAAGCTTTTTTATAATTGCTTCTTCCTTTAAACTACTGTAGTTTATTTTTCCCATTTAATAGCTTCATATTCTGGGATGCCTGGGTGGCATCCAGGTTAAGGGTCTGCCTTTGGCTCAGGTCAAGATCCTAGGATCCTGGGAGAGCCCCAAATCTCACTCTCTGCTCAGCGGGGAGCCTGCTTCTCCCTGTCGTTCTAACTGCTTCTCCCTCTCCCTCTGCCTGCCGCTCCTCCTGCTTGTGCTCTCTCTCCCTCTGTCAAAGAAATAAATAAAATGTTAAATAAATGAATAAATAGCTTCTTACTAGACAATGTAGTTTTGAATAGTAGCCTGGAGATACTTTCTATCTAGAATTTACCTCGATTTCCAAAAACAGACAAGAAGGAACTGTGGACAGGGATGCACAGGGGGCAGAGAAGAGGCTACCGGGAAGCCAAAATAATGCATCACAAAATCCAAGAATGAAAAACTTAGGTCTTTTACTCTTCCGAAGTCTCCTCTCCCTTCTAGTAGGCCGTAATTACACAAAATGTATGTACAGTTCTAACAAAGGAGTCTTGTTTCCATAGTAAAAGCAAATCTGAAGCAGAATATTAACCCTCTTCTGGGCAGGTACTTGGATGACAGAGGAGTTTATAGACATCCTAAAAACAAGGGACGAAGAAGGAAAACTATGAAAAGAAGCTGTGAGAACTCAAAAAGCAAAACATTCTGGGGTTATTTGTAAAGCACAAAAAGCACTACCCACCTAGAGTCCCTGAAGTCATTTCACTTGAATAGATCTTCGTGGCAATACTCCTGACATCAAGAAACAGTACAGAATGGCCTGGGTGGCTCAGTCCATTAAGCGTCTGCCTTTGGCTCAGGTCACAATCCCAGGATCCTTGGATGGAGCCCTGCGTTGGGCTCCCTACTTAGCAAGGAGTCTGCTTCTCCCTCTCCCCCTGCCCTTCCCCGTTTGTGGGCGCTCTCACTCTTCTTTCTCAAAATTTTTTTTAAAATTTTAAGATTTTATTTGTTAGAGAGAGAGACAGCATGAGCAGGGGGAGAGGTAGAGCCAGAGGGACAAACGGACTCCCCAGAATCCCTAAGCAGGGTTCCCCGACGTGGGGCTCGATCCGAGGACCCTGGGATCATGACCTGAGCTGAAGGCAAATGCTTAACTGACTGAGCCACCCAGGCACCCCTCTAATAAGCAATTTAGATGCCTAAAAGGATTAATTCTAAACTAGAAAATCCAACTATCCCAAATAATTCAATTAACCATTCCCAAGGAGCTCCAGACAAGCCAAAATTCTATAGAAATAAGTCTCATACTGTATTCATTTTGGTTGCTGAAGTAGTCAGGGACTGGATCCAGTCTGCCAACAGAGTCCGCAGCTCTCATGATCTTCATCCCTGTTCCTCCGTCAGTTATTAAATAAAAAACACGTTTCACTACACATAAAACCATGTCAGGACTCAAAACATTCCACTTCTAAAAATCAAACTCAGAAACATCAGTCTCTAAGCACTATATAGAATCCTTCCACTGTTTTATTCCCTAATTCCCGTGGATTTAGAGTATGTTTCGGATTCTTCCCATCGCCTGGAACGTTTCCACTGCTTTCTGGTCTACGTATCCTCTAAGTACCATGTGCTCCATTCTTAGCCTGAACTCCAAGGATGGCAATGAATCCAAGTCCTTCTTTCCTTGGTTTCTATCCTAAAGACAGCACCAATCAATTCCCAACCTTTGGCAAAACCTATCATTCACTTTATTTTTCCCTCCCAAATTTAAGTGGAAAAAGGCTAAAAGCTGACCTGGTCCAAGACAATACTACACCTTGCGTCTTAGAGGATAAGGCAGTATTTCCTCTAGGGATAAAATTTATCCCTATATCAGAAGGGATATCTTCCCCGATTTCCTTTAGACAGTGGTTTCAAAGATTTTTGTTTACATTCCTACCCCCCTCCCCCGCCTGTGCCAAAAAAATGTTTGAAAAACAATGTAATCTATTTACATATTTTTAGATTGGCATCTAAAATTTTCCATTATAAATAATTGAAAGGGAGAAATTTTGACAGCAAATTCTATTGTAAATATTAGCAATTTTGAATAAAAATGGGGGCACCTGGGTGGCACAGCCAGTTAACATCCAACTCTTGGTTCTGGCTCAAGTTGTGATCTTAAGTTCTTGAAATCAAACCCTGGTGTCAGGCTCTGTGCTCAGTGTGGAGTCTGCTTGAGATTTTCTCTCCCTCTCCCTTCACCCCTCCAGCTCGTGCTCGTTCTCTCTCTCTCTCTCTCAAATAAATAAATAAATCTTTTAAAAATGACAATAAAATAAAACTCTCTGTTACTTCTTTAAACTATATACATAGCACTAAATTCTATCCCTGAAACTATTAATACAGTATATGTTAACGAAATTGAATTTTTTTTTAAAGATTTTATTTATTTATTTGACAGAGATCTCAAGTAGGTGGAGAGGCAGGCGGGGTGGGGGCGGGGAGAAGCAGGCTCCCTGCTGAGCAGAGCCCGATGCGGGGCTTGATCCCAGGACCCTGGGATCATAACCTGAGCTGAAGGCAGAGGCTTTAACCCACTGAGCCACCCAGGCGCCCCTTGAATTTATTTTTTAAAGATTTTATTTATTTGGTTGACAGAGAGAGAGGATACAAGCAGGGGGAACAGCAGGAAGAGGGAGAGGGAGAAGTAGGCTCCCTTCCCAGCAGAGAGCCCAATGTGGGACCATCCCAGGGTCCTGGACCTGAGCCTAAGATGGACGCTTAACTGACTGAATCACCCAGGTGACCCTGAAACTGAATTTAAACTAAAAATTAAAAAATAGGCTCCTGGGGGTCTCGGTGGGTTAAGCCTCTGCTTTCAGCTCAGGTCATGATCTCAGGATCCTGGGATCGAGCCCCGCCCGCATCAGGCTCTCTGCTCAGCAGGAAGCCGGCTTCCGCCTCTCTCTCTGCCTGCCTCTCCACCTACTTGTGATCTCTCTGTGTGTCAAATAAATAAAATAAAATATTTAAAATAATTAAAAATATATATGTAGAATCTAAATAAGATTTTTTATTTTTTAAAAGGTAATTTTTAAAAAAGATTTTATTTATTCATTTGACAGAGAGAGACACAGTGAGAGAGGGAACACAAGCAGGGGGAGTGGGAGAGAGAGAAACAGGTTTCCCACTGAGCAGGGAGCCAGATGCAGAGCTCAGTCCAGGACCCTGGGATCATGACCGGAACCAAAGGCAGCTGCTTAACTGACTGAACCACTCAGGCACCTCAAAGAATTTAATTTTCGAAACTTAGTACATATGTATGTATTTTTTAAATTTAGCAACAATTGACATATGGCATTATATTCCTTCTAGCTATACAACCAATATATGTATATATTACTAAATGATCACGACAGTAAGCTTAGTTAACATCTGTCACCACCCATAAAGGTTTTCTTGCAGTAAATTTTAAGATCTACTCTTTTAACAACTTTCAAACCATAAGGTTTCGTTAATTGTAGTCACCATGCTGTACATTATATCCCTAGAACATTATTATCTTGTAACTGGAAGTTTGTACCTTTTAATCAACTTCACCCATTTTGCACACCCCCCATATTATACCATATTTAGCGGCTTTTCAAGACAGCTTAGCCTCTCTGACATCTCTCAAACATCAAACATTTCTTGCAACTCCCTCCTCTCCTGTCAACCTTGACTCATTATTCTTCTACCTTATTTTTTAAAGATTTTATTTATTTATTGGAGAGAGTGTGCACACATGAGCACGAGCAGGGGGAGGATCAAAGGGACAGGCAGACTCCTTACTTGAGCCCAAGAGTCAAGGTTGGACTCCATCCCAGAACTCCCACCCCTTAGAGATCAAGACCCCAGCCAAAGTAGGACACTTCACTGACAGCCACTCAGGCACGCCTTGTCTACCTTTCTAAAGTTTGCCTGATA